ACATACATAACTCATAATTTTGTTTGGCGTGAAATATTATTCATCCAATTTATTAATCCACATTATTTTTAATGCACATGTGAAAATTCAGTTGTTTCATGTAAAAATTAATATAGATTTTTTTTATAATCAAGTTTTTAAGAGTTGGAGTTCATTGGTATTAATATATATTGTGCTGTATCCCCAGTGGGCATATGTGAAACACTGTACCAGACCCCAGGGGAGGTGTGTGGCAACATAAGGCAGTCTCCCATCCCATTGCTAAGATGCTTATAGTACAGATTTACTAATGCAAACCCAGAAGAGAAGGACCAAAACACATTTGCAGAAAAATATGAACTTAGTGGAATGGTGTTCCTCTCATCTCCTTTAAGGCCTTGCTCCAATAATTGTGCTTTCTCTTTCTCATAGCTTCAGTGTCTTCCTCTTCAGTGGCCACCTCCTCCTCTGTGCTTAAATATGCTGAAGCCACTGCTACTTTCACAAGTATTTCATCCTGAATGTCCAGTACCCCCGGCCGTGTTTCCTTCTTATACTCCAGCTTCTTGAAAGAGCAGTGGTGTCGCCAGGCTTTCCTCCTAACCCTGCCGTCTGGCCTCTGCCGCCAGCACTCCCTGGAAACCATCATCCTCAAGGTCACCAATAACCTACTAGGGTGCCAACTAATCCAGAGGACTCGGATCCTCACCCTACCTGACTTCTCTTTTCTTTCTCAGTTTCCATAATGAGTTGTTCTTCTTCCCACATCATACATTCTGGGGTTGGGCTTCTTTTTGCAATTTTTTTTTTTTTTTTTTTTTTTTTTGAGAGGATTCTCACTCTGTCACCAGGCTGGAGTGCAATGATACGATCTCGGCTCACTGCAAACTCCGCCTCCCAGGTTCAAGCAATTTTCCTGCCTCAGCCTCCTGGGTAGTTGGGACTACAGGTGCCCGCCTCCACACCCGGCAGATTTTTAGTAGAGATGGGTTTCACCGTGTTGGCCAGGATGGTCTCAATCTCTTGACCTTGTGATCCACTCGCCTCAGCCTCCCAAAGTGCTGGGATTACAGGCCTGAGCCACCATGCTTGGCCTTCTTTTTGTGCTTTTATATTGTCCCTGTTGAACTTACTCACACCTATAATTTTCATCTCCCTAAATCTCCACTTGCTTGATGCTTATACAAAGAGTCAAGAAGGTAAAATGATTGGGAGCATAAAATTTGCAGTCACCTGCATACTCTTGAGTTAGAATTTCTGCTCTGGCACTTTCTAGCCATGTAATCTTTCTGAGTCTCAATTCTCTCATCTGTAGAAAAGAGAAAGGGATAGTTTCAACTTTTTTGACCACTTCATACCATTCCTAAGAACTGGTATAATATTCTGTGCCCAGAAGGAACACCATAAGATTGTGAGGATTATATCGTGATGAAGTGCATAGCATAGTGGCTAGCACATACTCTGTAGATACTAGCTCCCACTACTATTACTGGACACTACATTTGGGTGTCATTTAGGTACCGTGAACTCAATATATTCTAAACTGAACTTTCCTTCCTCCCAAATCTGTACCCCTCTGTTGCAGTTCTGGTTAGCACCTTCATAATCACCCCAGTCACTAAACAGAGCTCTAGGTAACACATTTCTTTACCCATTCCTTTTTGTCATCCATGTCTATACCCGGTGTGTCTAAGGCCAATTTACATAATATCTCTTCAACCAACACTTTTCTTTCCATACCTACTGCCATTTTTTTTTTATTCAGGCCTTTCACACATTGATCAAAATGTTCCTGGCCTCAAACCCTATAACTGCCCTCTATTTCCCCCCAGTTTAGCCTGGCTTTCAGGACTTCCCTGATCTGTCCCACCCCTCTCTCTCTCCAGCCTCATCTCCACATCCATCACCCTCACCTGACACCAGACTCTCTATTTCAGCTGGAATAAGTACTTCCTTCATCAGAGATGCCATCCTGACCCTATCACTGTGGCTCATGATGCCAACTCCTTTCCCCAGTGTACCTTCCTCAGTACCTCCTCTGCTGTCTAACTGATGAAGCTGTGCTCATCCTTAAAGATCCAGCTCAAGTCTGTCCTCCTATATCATCTTTATTTAGGTATTGTACACTCTTTTTCACTGATGAACTTTACTAGGAGTAGCTTAACAAAACTCAGAGTTGGATAGATGGTATTTGAAATGATGTTTGCTTTATTGCTCAGGGTCCTCTATGAGAAACTACAGAAGAAACTTGTGTACAGTCTGTGTACCTGCAATAACTGTCCTTCTCCTGAACAATATGTGTTCTTTAAAGTTATGAACTCTTCTGTTTCTGTAACTTTATGGCTTGAGAACCAAATTGAAGTCCTGAGGGGCATGCATCTTGCATACATATCTCAACACGGCATGTATTATTTTTCCACCCTTGTTTGTCATCTTTGATTTCCCCCCCCTTTATTGTCTTGTTCAGCTGTCTGCCTTTTTTGTAAACTGCCTTAAGTCTATCTTAGAGCAAGACAGATTGTATGTAAAGGAAAGTGAAAAGAAATATGAAGAAAAGTAAAGGAAGAAGATGACATATGTACAAGCAATAAGGAAGAAAAGGAACATAGGAGATGATTAGAATTTTCTAACAACAATGGTTTTAGTAATATTGCTTGCTGATCTTATCAGAATCCATTCAACTAGCATATTTGGAACTGCCATGTATGAGACATTGTGCTCAGCATTGGGAATGCAGAGATATTCAAGATAGAGTCTCTCTACTCACAGGAATTTGCAGTTTGATCAACTCTAATAGCTACTGTCACCCTTAAGATTATGACTGAGATAAAGAGAAGAAACTTTTCCCCAAAAGGGACCCTTTCCTCACCCATGAGAAATTAACTATTGTAGTTTGAGTATCAATTAAGCTTCTATGTACTTGAGGTACTAAGCAAAGTACTTCAAAATGTCGGTGGGTTAAATGACTGGAATTTTATTTCTTAGTCATAAACCAGTTTGAGGATGGGTGGTCTAGGGCTGGCAGAGTGGTTCTGCTGTGCACAGCATGTAGCTTCCATATCTTGGAGCCAAGCTGGCTGCTCCAGCACTCACCACCTCCTACAGCAGGGAGGGGAAAGGGCCAAGGAAGCATGCCCATTCCTTTAGGGCATCACCCAGCCCTGAAAGTGACCTTAGTCACTTCTGCTCACCTCATATGGGCAGAGCTTAATTCCTTTGTTACAGGAAGCTATAGGGGAGGCTGAGAAATAAAGAAGTAAAAGGAGAATAGACATTGGTAAATCTCTAGCAATTTCTGCTGATGTTAGCAACAAAGTTTCTTCCTTCTCCTCCACTTCTTCCTCCTCCTTCCTGTTTTGAGCCTTATGATTTTCTTTTCAACCTCTGAATGTTACTTAAAAGCCATACATTCTCAGGTTTTGGGTCAATTTATACCTGCATTTCTCACATCTGCTCCATCGATGAACTTCATCTCTTCAAGTTCTCAAAGGTCTAGAATTTTTTTAAAAGTTGCTACACAGCAACAATTTTTTAAAAATTAAAATTTGGCCAGGCGTGGTGGCTCATGCCTGTAATCCCAGCACTTTGGGAGGCTGAGGCGGGTGGATTGCTTGAGTTCAGGAGTTCAAGACCAGCCTGGGCAATGTGGTAAGATCTTGTCTCTACCCAAAAAAAAAAAAAAAAAATTACTGGTCTTGGTGCTGCATGCCTGTAGTCCCAGCTTCTTGGGAGGCTGAGGCGGGAGGATCGTTTAAGCCCAGGAGGTCAAGATTGCAGTGAGCCAAGATGTGCCACTATACTCTAGCCTGGCCAACAGAGCGAGACACTCTCTCAAAATATAAATAAATATAAATATAAAAATGTACCAACAATTCAAATGATACTGTTTTGCATTCTGATTTTTCACTTAAAACTTTTATTTATATCATAAGCAAATTTTTGAAAAATGTATGGATATCTCCCCAGAAAAGGTGGGGACATGAGCATGGTAAGACAATAAGCCATAATTTTTAATGTTTAAGGCCCCATTATTTACAGCTCCTATTGGAATCTTACCTGAAAGAGCTCTCTATCTCCCAGTGCAGGTTATAAAGATATATTTTCATTTTGCTCCTATTTCATTTATTTTAGAATATGAAAGATGATAAATTGTTATGCGACACAAGTTGAGGTGGAAAATCAAAGAGAAGGAAGAGAAAAATAATCCCTAATATTGCTGGTTCTGTGTATAATTTAGCTGTCTCTGAATATTAAGTAATCTTTTATACTGATCATAAGTATGTTCCTGAACACAGGGAGAACTGTTTTCACTCTAAATTTATAACATTTTTGGAAGCTTAATTATCATACTTGAAGGTCAAATGGTGCTTTATTGCAATAAAATACAAAAAGTAATAAAGAAATTATTCCTGGGGAGATGAAAGTCTAGGTTCATAGCTCATTAAATGCTAACTTCAGAGCCCATGTCTAATTTGTCATATTTAGCTTTGGAAGTTTAATACATTTGAATTTCAAATTAGGTGAGGAGATACCTGAGGCAAAACTACCTAGGGCCTTTGAATTCTAAAATGATTCAGGAGCTATAGTCCCCGTAACATAATACCTGTATTTGGAAGAATTGCTTGCCATCTATATATAATGCTTGTCTGACCCAAAGGCTTTTTTTTTTTTTTAAGTAATCAATAATATTACCTCAAAGCTCATTTACCACCTCCTCAATTCATTTTTAGGCATCTTTTCGTTTTTCTGATCCACATATTTACATCTCCATTCTTTGCACTGAGTAATTTGTTCAACAAGTTGGCTGAAATTTATTAGTACTACTATAATTTGGAGTCAGATGATTACTTTAAAATTTCCATTCAAAATAAGTCAGTTGAAAGAAAAAAACACATCTGTCAAGAAAATAACCTTTTGGGGGAATTAAACACGACCTCATTCTTTCTAATATGCCTACTTCAGGCTGCTGTGATCTATGAGATTCTGGCAAGTTCAACTTTTGAAAGAGCATATGCACAGAAATGCTTCTTAAGAAATGAAGCGGCCTGTTTCCCTGTAGCAGCTCCCTATTGCTGGAGAAGGAGAAAAGTGCCCAAGATCCTTTCAGGATATTTGGTTTTTTGGGCGCGACACAAATCGAGGTGAGGGAAGAGAGAGGAAAATCCCCTGAATCCCTGCAGGATTAATTTATTCAAAAAGGAAATTAAAAATACTCAATATGCAAAAGTCTTGTGAAGAAAATGAGGGAAAACCACAGAACATGCCAAAGGCCGAGGAAGATCGCCCTTTGGAGGATGTACCACAGGAGGCAGAAGGAAATCCTCAACCTTCCGAAGAAGGTATAAGCCAGGAGGCAGAAGGAAACCCCAGAGGAGAGCCGAATCAACCTGGCCGGGGATTTAAAGAGGACACACCCGTTAGGCATTTGAACCCTGAAGAAATGATAAGAGGAGTAGGTGAGCTTGAAAGGCTTAGGGAAGAGATAAGAAGAGTAAGAAACAAGTTTGTGATGATGCATTGGAAGCAAAGACATTCACGCAGCCGTCCTTATCCTGTGTGCTTTAGGCCTTGAATTCATTTTTGCCTAATATTAAAATCTGGCCCCAGCTTTCTTTCTGTTAGCATTTTCTGATGTATCTTTGACCTCCATTTTACTTTTAATAATCTGATGAAATTTTGTTTTAGATAGTTTCCTTGGTACCAGCACCTCATTGGATTTTGGATTTTGACCCATTTTCCAGGTCTATTTTTCAATTGGAAACTTTCACACATTTGCATGGGAATGTGTTCATTCCATGTTGTAAAGTGAAACATAACAGGTTATGGCAAAGCAGCATATTTAATATCAGCTCACATATATAGGATAAAATTCCAAACTTTGTGTGTGTGCGTGTGTGTATACATACATCCATATAACATATATTAAAAACTTAACCAAGCTTATTTCTGTGTGGTGTGAAATTTTATTTGTTTTCTTCTTTTTATTCTTTTTGCTTATATTATATGTGCTTTTTAATGAACACGTGTCTCACACACAAAAAGAATTAAGGATTTTTTTTTACAAGTAAGAGTCAAATAATTTGCAACCAGCTTATGAGGGCAATGGGGGCACCTAAACTCTTGATGAAAGAACAATAAAAAAGAAATGTAAACCTCAAATTACCTCTGGATCTCTTAGCCAGAGGAATAAACTGGCAATTATTACAGATTTAAAAAAAAAAAAAAAAAAAAAAAAAGAAATGAAGCTTTTTTTTTTTTTTTTTTTAACTTTTAGCATGTAATTTGTCTCCTGGACAAATTGAATTGATGATGGGAGGAATTTAGGCTTCAATTTAATATTGAGATACCATCTAAGGATCCACGTTTATAATATTTATTTTGAAAGGCCCAATAGTTTAAGCTATTAAAATGTTATTAAGAAAAGTATGACTGTGAGCACAATAACCAAATGTAGTCACAGAAGCTAATGTGGAGATACTTGCTGCCTGTTTTAGTTTACAGAGATGTTCTAACTTCCATTTCTGTCTGCAAAGCTTAGCTGATGCTAATGCAAGAGAAACTGTCATAAAGATAAGCCACTCATTATAATCTGTGAGATGCGCTAAATAATTGGAGGTAATTTTGGAGACAAAAATACATTTAGTAAATTAAAGTAATGTTCACAAAGTAAGTCTATCTAATGACAAGCAATACATTAGTTGCACTTTAAAATTTAAAAAGTGAGTAAAAAGTGGTTCTTCTCATACTGCGATGAAGGCCAGATTAATTCACACTGAGTGAAAATAGTGAGTTTTTAAAGATAATTTTTCACCTTTCCCGAAGATATTCCTTGGGAAAAGACCTACAACTCTTCTGGCTAGAACTGTCTCCAACACAGAGACATGTTAACATATATGAGCTAAGAGCTTTCCATCATTTATTCAAAAAAGTATCTGCATGCACTTTTTCTGCTTTCATTTTAAGTGAAAAAATAGTAACCTTGTTTAAAGAGACCAAGAAGCATGTTATTCCTTTGAAACTTTTGGTACTGAATTTACTTGCTTTCATGTTAGGCTCAACCAAGCCTTGTGATGTGAATTGCTTATCTTATGAACTGGGTCTTTTCATGGCTGTTCCATGTAATAATCGTTCATGCTCACTATTTTTTGAATAATTATCTTTATCGAATCTGCATTAGTACAGAGTTCTTGTGTTCATTCAAGGCAGTTCCAGTCTCTTTCTTTTGCTAACTTATGGTGATAAATCATTTCAAGAACAGTGCAATTGAATTTTTTAAAAAAGAAGTTCTATAAGCAATCTATTTTTTTCAAACTTTGAAGTACCTTCCAAAAACAATGATTGTTTACTTTTATTCTTAGCATGTTTAAGCTTATTAATTTTAAAAATCTATTTTTGTCCTCTTTGCATAGTCTGTGACATCTTAGTAAAATACATATGTAATCTTCAGGTCACTTAATAGTACTCAAGCATCTAGGAAAATGCTTGGCTAAGGAAAGACTTAGAATGTTGCTGAAGCATATCATTGCTGATCTAAATCTTTGTATTTTTCCAAAACATCATCTGGATAGGCCCCACTGGAGAGAGAATTTGGAGGACAAATAACTGTTAAATGGCACTATCACAAACATCAAAAAGAATCTGGAAAAGAAATCATAAGTACACATTTATGAGTTGTTTTGACACTCATAAGAACATTTATTTACTTATCTAGTGTGAAAAGATTGTATTATGCTGAAAACTTTAAAGTTTCATTTTTTTCTCATTTAACTGCTCTGCTCTCAAGAGGGATTTGACTTATGAAATTAAGTAGATTCTCATTTATCAATACTTTCCTAGTAAAAATTGCTGCCAATTTATATTGATAGTTTTAAAGAAGTTTAGCTTTTTCAACTAAAAACAAGTCAAAGTAGACTAGGCTTTCATTCTGAATCCCTTGCTGGAAAAAAAGCTTTTAAAAAACCTGGTGATTTTAGTGAGATTCTATTGTAATTCCTCCATTCTGTTGGCTTGCTTTTACTTGTTTTTTAGGCAAAGTAGAACCTTCATTTTAACTTACCTGTGTAACTTTTTATATTTTATCTGTGGTTTTAAGTAAGTTAATTCAGTCTGAGGACATTTGGCTTACTCTTTAAGTTATCATGATATACCTAAAGTCAATTTCCAATTCAGTCCAGTTGCTTGAACTTGATCAAGCTTTACAAAGGATATGGTTTCTGTAATGTTTGTGAATTTCAATGGCATTGTATTTCTGGATAAAGATTACAGAGATTTATGGTTATTCTGAATGAGATTTAAAGTTCATTGAAACACAAATACATTCACATGCAATTTATAACAGGGAACTCTTAACAGAATTAGACATTCCTAGATTCATCTCAGCTGAACATTCATTCCTAGTTGAGCATCCTACCTTATAGAAAAAATATTCACTTCTGATAAAATGTAGGAATTCAGTTTGATTTATACAAACACTTGATTCCTTATTAAATCATTTATCTTTCTATAAGTTCCTTCCAGCCTCTACGTACAGTTTCATGGGTCTCACCAATGAAACTAAAATAGGACCATATTATGAAGCTTCCCCACAGTGATCTCTCTGGGTACAGAACAACTCCAGCCTATCTTCTTCTCTCTTCAATTCAATGTCCTCTGACAAGTAGCACCATCCCTAGTGCATCTTCCTCTGTGCATACCTTTGGTCGTCTGACCTGATCTTCTTATCACTACCACAGAAATACCTGGAAGAAACTGCGATGTCTTTTACACTTCTGTTAAAGGTGTATTCCATCCTATTCTTTCTCCAAAACCAAAACCTACTTCTTTAAGAACTTTCTGTTGTCTCTCATCCTCAGAAACCAAAACTCCCTAGTTTAAGCCATCTGACAATTTTATGTCATTGCTAGATTTTAATCATGCAATTTTAGATTCAAAGGAACTGAGAAACTGGGCAAGATGCAAGGTGGGGTAGGGCATTCTAGGGTCCTGGGAGAGGCAGAAAATCAGTAACAGACCAATAAATGTTGAGATAAAAACATACGAGCAATCTAGAAAAATTCAGTGATTCAATCTAGAGCTAGTTCAATGGCAGAGGAACAGGAAAGGTAGACTTGGAGATTGCCATTGGGTAAGCACTTGGACAACTGACAAATGAGGACCTGTCTAGCAAGCATGCATTTTGCATTTAATAAAGGAAAGAGTAAAGGCCTTTATGCCAAGTTCACATAATATACGAACTTAATAATTCACTCATAGTCACTAGTATCAGGCAAGGCAGGTACTATCCAAATGGGAGTATACTAAATAATGTTGAACTATATCATTCTTCCTCAGGCTACTTTAATTTTTCTGTGGTGCATTTACCTCAGTAAATGTGAAAAGATGGTGAACTTCCTACAGGCTTAGAAAATTTGTTTAGACTACATAAAACTAGATTGATATGGTCACTTATTGAGAAATGATTAAAATAAACTTCCAGGCGCAGTACTTTACTAGCTTTTGGCCCATTTTTAAACTACATATGTGTGAATCTTTCTCAAGAAAATTTGTACTTTTCCTTTCATTAAGTTTTGCATACTAAACATGTTTCTCTTTTTGAGGAAATAATGTTTAGTTATCTCAGAGAGTAGACATTTTTGTTAAAATATATTAAAACAATTCTTCCTAACTAGTGATTTACAATATGATGTAAATTTGTTGAGTTAAGTTAAATCCAGGTAAACACTGACTGGGTGTTGAAGCTCCCCAGACCACTTATAATAAAGGACTTTTGGACAATGTTATGTGTCTATTCTGTCATTATTTTAAGGCTTGGATCTTCAATTATTTTCTGAAATATCATAAAATACATTACAACTAAGAAGTAGCTTTCAAATCAATTTGTTATTTATTGAGACACTATCACCAGCTTTGGCTGATGTCTTGGGTGGACATATTTTCTGCTCTTGAGGAGCCTATTTCTTCTTCAGAGCAAAGATAAGTACTTAACACAGAGAAGAGTTCAGCATGCTATAACAATAAGCAGTGGATTGTGTTGTTTAAACCAGTGAATTTTAAATCTGACTTTCCAGCAGAATCAGTCAAGGAGGTTTTAAAAAATACAACTTCCGAGCCTCCACCCTCAGAGATTCTGACTCAGTGGGTCTTTCTAAAATGTGATGTAGGTGTTTCAGTGAAAGCTCCCATGTGCCCAAATAATTTAGCAAAGGTAGATGTCCATTTGAATAAACAATTTAAAGTAAAGCATTTTATAACTTACTCCCTTTATTGGGTTGAGGCCTTAGTCACCAAAGTCATTTAATGTAAAGTAGGCAACAATATTTCTGCAGATATTTTGTTATACATATCTAACCATTGTATTGCATGGTAAATATTTCTAATTAATAATTGTCATAACTTTTCCTACATTTAATTTAACCAATTTATTTCAAAACCTGTGAAATAATTTGAAGTTCCATATTCTGTAGACAGGTGTTTTTCCTTTCTTCTTAACACTTTATAACATGAATACAGAGAATCCCTTTTGCAATATAGCTAACATTAGGCATGGTAAACTATCATATCTTAAGAAACAAAACAAAATCCTTTGGTCCTCATCTCCATATAAGATCTCATTTCTCACCTTTGCAGCTAACCTTCTAGAAGGAGCAGTTTGCACAGTAGTTGAGTCTAGACTCTGAGGCCAAAATCCCTGAGTTCATCTATAGACACTCCTTAGCAAAGTGCCTTACTAGCAGGGTGTTCTTCATAGATATCAGCTTTATTAAGATTATTTTGGCCTCTCCTTCAACTCTTTTAGCTCTTAAAACTCTTTCTTTTTCTTATTTCCTTAATGGAATGCACTTTTACTCAGTCACCTTTGCTAGCTCGTCTTCTTCCACCTGT